TTCGGAATAGATTTTTAAGGAATTATTTCGACATCTTATTACTATCGAAATGAATAATTTTAAATATTTTATTATTAATATTACATTTTTTTATATCTATAAACAGATTTCTGTAATTATTAAAATTGTCTCGTTTGTTTAACAGTACAATGACTCCGAAATGCATTAACGTTTTATAACCGACACGATACTCGAATTTGTAAATAAATGCATCTGATTTAAATTAATGCATTTTTAAATAATCTTCTGGAAAATACAAAAAGTTAACCACAGTCTAACCCCGTTTATACGTTAAATATTTTCTGCACAGCACTTTCACCATTATAAAATAGTTCAGTTATATGTTTTTCATTTACACGATTTCGTACTTAAATGTCGTATTTTTCTCATGCGTTTATTCACTTTGAAATAAAAATAAAGTTTTAAGTCTTCACTCATTTGAATATCGAAATTGGAACATTTAAAACAAATTTAAAGTATTTAAGTTTGTTGTTTTTGCTCCAAGCAATTAATTAATGAATAATTTTGTCGATTCGTACCGTTTACAACATTTTTTAAAGGAACGATATCTGTTTTTATCTATACTTTTGCACGAACAAAGCTACCACTCGAATTGAAAAGCCCTCTAAACCCGCTGTCGAGTGAGTCTAGAAAATAGGTCAAATAACTTATTTCTAATCGCTGTCTACATTGTGGCAGGCGAGAAACGCCGTCTCTGCAATGAAATTTTTCTGAACAGCGGTCTACCCGATCTGTAAACCGCCGTCGGTCTCTAAACGTTGTCTCTGCAATCGGCTGTTAATGTGCAATCTTCTTATTACATCTAACGTTTTCGGTCAGTTAATTGACCTTCTTCAGAAAATACAGTAGAGGTCGTTTATCCGAATTAATTGGGGACTGAGGTTGTTCGGATAAATTATTTTCGGATAACCGATTATGCACGAAAAAATATATTAACCTATCCCATGTTGAAATTTTTCTCCGTTGCGTGTCGCTTCGCGATAAATTTTCGTCAAGATTAAGCCTAACGTAAACTTTTAAAATAATAATCGTGGCTATTGTATCATTAAAAATTGTTTCTTTACTTTTTACAAACAAAATAAATATATTGAAACATATAAAAACAAAAAATTATACTTTAGAAGTTAATCTATTATCAAAAACGTTCGATTCAGCACGACACAGTTCTCAGAAAAACACTACACAAAAGTGCCAGTGCTGTCAGCTAAAACACACACACCAACAAAAAAAAATATTGGAGTAGAACAAGATATAGCCAAAGATTGCAGCGCCTTAGCACTAGCAAAAATTTAATTTGCCAACTGGAATTCTTTTGGATAAACGACACTCTACTGTAATCAAAAAATTTTGATTTTTATCGAACGAAATTCCGTAATAGGTTTCCTATTACGGAACGTTTTTAAATTTTCTTAATGTCCAGTGTGCAAGTTCATTCGTTTAAAAATCGAATTTTTTGAATAGATAAAAAAATAGAAAAAATATTAATGTATTGAAAATGAATGCTAAGGATGAAATTAACTAATTTTCGATATATTATACCATATAAATATACTATGTAATCATATAAATTATAGAAAGAAAGAAATTCTAATTATTTTTCATTAAGCATTACATATAAATAAATTGAGGGGCTTGTGGAAAAACGGCGTATCTCACATTGGGAAGTTTTCGAGAAAAAGGATTTGTATTTCAATTCACCAGCACTTTAATATGCAATTATCCATTTTATTCATGTAGGGGTGTAATCCGTAGGACATGAAACCGAACCGTAAAATTTTCTTCGGCGATGCACAAATCCAAATAGGCCTTTTGCTGAATACGCCGTTTTTCTATTTGGCCTTTCAATTCATTGTTACATATTCAATTACCTGATATGGCTCAAAACCAGTTCCTACATTTTGTATTAATGAGCATATTATTTGTTTCTTTTCCCAGTTCCATACCACGATTCCCCAATCAGGTTCATTCGTTAGACCAGCCAATAGTTTCGAATCTCTAGAAAATGCCAGGTATATATATTGATCTGAAGTAAAGTTATTAGGACCAGTCAATTTTTTCTTAGTTTTCAGTGCTTGTAAATCATACAGCACGACTGCTGCTTGTTTGGGATTTTTGTCTGCAATAGCCAAATATCTAATGTTTGGACTAAGTACCATAGCCGTCATCTCTTGAATCTCTCCACAATTCAAAAACTTTTGAATCTTATGATCTATATTATATAATGCACATATCTTTCCACATGGATATAACACTGTCTGATCATTAACAAATTGGATTCCTTGTATAACAGATCCGTTATATCCTATAACCTGGTACAACTCCAGTTTAGCAATTGATCCTGTGAACGACATTTTCGAATAAGCTTCTGTTAACTGTTTTCTTAACAAAATAGAATACTATTTTGAATTATACAAATTTTGTTCTATTTTTAATTCATACGTAATTAATTTTTTTAAAAAATTGGAAAAAATAAAGATTAAAAAAGAGATAAAACTAAATTTTTATTTCTATTTCTAATTAATACAATTTAACTTTACATAACTTTACATTTACTTACTCTCGTAGTTAATATTTTATTATACAGATACATTATTTTAAAATTACTGTATTTTTGTCCTAAGGCACTAAGAAAGCCTAATATGTCCGAAAAATTACTGGTGAGTTCTTCGCCCGGATTTGATCCCAGTTTCCCAGAGCAGTACGCTATCGCCTTAACCTCCTAGGCCAGCGGTGGCCAACAGTTTTTGCCCCCGGGCCGAATTGGAAAGAAAACTTTTTCCACGGGCCGAACAAGAGGCTTTTAGGAAGATTTTGAGGTGGTGTGAGATCTCATTGTGGTGTCATCCCGTAGAACTAAATTGCAGATAGAGATTACAGATACATTTTTCACATTATCATGCTTTATCAACATTCTACGCTGTACTTACGAGATTTATAATGGAGGGTTAACTCTAAACGCACAGTGAGATGTTGACCTTTTTTTTTTTAGCCGTCAAAATTTTTCATCGAGCTATTCGGACTTTAGTAGCTAATATTGAAAGATTGATCGCGAGCCACATAAATTCATTAGACGGGCCGGATCCGGCCCGCGGGCCGAGCGGTCAAGGTGGCAGCCTACCGCTCTGGGTGACCCGAAATCGAATCCGGACGAGTCGAAAAATCCCTATGAAATTTTCGGGGTGGTCCGTCAAGCTATGCTGGGCCCCGTCCCCCAACACCCGGCCGCACCATTGTGGGCCTGGCCAAATCCATAATGGGCTTGCTAAAAAAGGCCCTCTTAAGCAGTGGCGGATTACCCAATAAGCGCACTAGGCACGCGCCTTGTCACAAGGAGCCTCAAAAAGTACGATACATAGCAAAAAGATAATATGCCTCTAACTTGTAAGACTTTATTTAAGGATGTTATTCGTTAACAAAATTTCGCCTAGGGTCTCAAAGGAACATTATCCGCTACTGCTTACCAGAGTAAAATAGGTGCGCGTAGAAAGCAGTGTAGGATTTAGGGGTAGTGAAAATATCTAGAGGGGCCTCAAAATTGAATTGCGCCTGGGCCTCTCAAATGCTAAATACGTCATTTAGTACCCATAGGACAGAAAGAGTTAAAAAAAAAAAAAAAAAACCACCTAGGCCAGGGATGGCAAACCTATGGCATGGGTGTCCAAAGTGATACGTTGGAAAAATCATCTGCCACATAATGTCAGTGGCACACTCAAGATTTAATCTTCGGGGAGCCGAATTAAACGTATAAAAAACTTTTTAATGCGAATTAAATAAAATCCCCAACTTATGTGACCGCTAATTCATAAGTAGTATAAAATTACAAGACAACAACACAACATAAAAAAAAAGAAATTAATTATGAAAATATTTTTTGGAAAACGTTTTAGTGTTTTTTTCCTTTTTTCCTGGTCTAGGCTATCTAGCCGTCGAGATAGCCTTTTTTTTTCATATATCAGCAATTCGGCTTAATTCACAATGAGAGCGGCCAAGTTGCTAGAGGCAATGTCTTATCTTTTCTATTTAATTAAAGCATCCATAAAAATTTCTTTAAGTTCCGATCCAATTCAAATCCTCCTCCTCGGATCGGCTCTAGGATGAAATGAATAACATTATCGTAATAGTCGATATCTGGATAATACCTTTTATCCAGATATCGACTATTATGATAATGTTATTCATTTCTACCTAGTTAGCTCTGGTGATAAAAGCGTCGGTATCTGCTAGTCTGGGACAGTGGTCGCCAACCGGTGGTCCATGGAGAAATTCGGAAATTGATCAACTCAAGGTTACGCGAAGTATTACGAAAGAAATGCATGATAGTAGTCCACGGAATTAAAAATTGTGTTTAGTAGTCCGTGAGGTCAGAAAGTTCGACGACCACTGGTATGGGGAACTTTTCACGGATGATTTGTGCCAGATATGTCAAGTCTGTTCCTCACCACCTGGTTGTTCCTATAATAGACATGTATCACGATGGATGGGGGGAAAGACTGCTTTAGTGCTCACAAAAAGGAAAAAGTGGAAAAAACTTCAGTCTATTCTATTATTGTTTATCATCACTCATCACGAATTTACAATGTTTATTTGAATACTAGTATATATGATTTTTTTCAAATTAACATGGAAATAAGTTTTGTATTTTTATATCTTACGAAATATTTATTTAATATATTTTTATATAAAGTAAAATCTGTGTAAACCGGAATCGCACGGTACCGAATTATTTTTTCGATTTAGACACGTTTACTGTATCATTATTATTACAGATAATTTGGCTACAATTTGAAAAAATTGTAGACATATAAATTCCCACTATCTGCTGTTTGTCCTTAATCTCGAGAACGGAGTTAGATGAAAGCCAAGACCAGATGTGGAAAAATTAGGGGCAGGAGGCCCCAATTAACTATGTATAAATTTCCAGTCTTGTCGTCACGTGATTTCAATTCAAAATTTTCTCCTGAACAGATTTAGATGACCGATATGACACTGTCATCAGGAAAAGTATGATCTACAGGGGGTGAGACACTACTAAAATCGAGAGTAAATATTTTGAATTGAATTCAATAAATTAAAATTTAATATGATTAAAAATTGCAGCCCAGCATTGCGATAATGTCACAATAAGTTAGGCTCGTTCAATTACAGTTTGCATTTAAGTCATTCAGAGAGAATCTTTGCTATATCTATATCACACCACATTAATTAAAAACAAACACACTTGCTCTTAGTTAAAAATTATAACAACGTTTATTAAATATTCAAACATATTGAATTTTTATATACATTTTAGAACAAAATTTTTTACATATGTACAAAAGTGATGCTTTTAAACAATGTTATTTAATTAAAATGAGTATTGTTTAATATCAACCACCACTAATTGGAGGAATTAAGGCAATTTCATCTCCCATTTGTAAATTGATTATTTCATTTTCATTAATAAATTCTTCATTTAAAGCAACATTTAATATATCACTAATAACTTCCAATGGCTTGAAAATATCAAGAAGAATTTCTTTCAAAATTTTTCCTGTTACTGGTTTATAATTTATATCTATGCATTTTTCTCTAGTTTCCATTAATTCTCTTGCTTTTGCAAAAAATAATACTCTAATTACAATTTTTTCTTCCATATTTTCTGATTACCTTATAAATAAAATTTTTAAAAACAATATTAAATTAATGATTTATATTATATTGTACAGTATTTTGAAAATTAAAAGCATTAAGATAGAAATAGACTGACAATGAAAAAAAGAAGTAAAGATAATTATTAGATATTTCTTTTTAAATTAAGTTTAATTTTTTCTACAATAATTACTTCTAGTTATCAATAAAAATTTTATTTTCAAAATGTAAAGTCAAAAACTATAAAATATAAGCTATTAATAATGATAAATTTTAGTTATACAGCTACTCAGACTATTTTAAATTACTATTGCAAAAAACTTCATCAAATTTTTTTTGCTCAAGTTTTATTGCAACAGTAATTTAAAATATCTTAACAGAAAAATTACAATTAACAAATGTTTTCAATATCCAGAAGTCTTCATGATACTGTGCAATATTTTACTGTAGTCAGTAAATTATTAAAAAGACTACATTACTGTATACTGTACTACCATGACATTTTTTGAGCTCATTTCTTATAACAATAAATTCACTGATGTAATCTCAGTTCAGTAAACTTTCTGTATAGAGCTGATCATAATAAATTACTATACTATATATCCAAGTTCTCATTTTCCACATCAGAGAAAACACCCTGCTAACTCAGACAACTTTCTAACTTGGATTAATAGGGAGTGAATCTTATTAGTCCAAGTTAGCAGGGGTTTACTATATTTTTATATTTCCATATCTTTCTGAAATAATATAAAGCAATATTTCATAACAAATGAAACTTAAGAAATGATATTTTTATTCATTTATATTTGCCTATAATCTATCCTCAATATCTCTTATGTAACTAATGAAATAGGCCTAAAATATTAATACATGTCGCATCAAGGCAAACATAAGTTAATTATAAAAAGTATTTTTGTTCAAAGAATTGTGTAAAATGTCACACTTTAAAATAACCAAAATATTTATTTGTTTATGAGAAATTTCAGACTATTTTTTAGTCCAGCTCTAACATCCAAGCAGAACTTGGACACAATTTACAAAATGGAATATACAACTATAAAACAGGGATGGCAAACCTTGTTGAGCCACATGCCCTATAGTAAGCATATTTAGCTTTAAAGATAAAGTTACACCAACTGCTATATAATGTTGGGCTATATATCAGCTACAGCTTAATTTTATATGGTAGTTGGTATAGCTTTATAGTAATGAATCAGGTTTTGTAGGATGTTTATAGTTTTAAAGACATTTTAAACTTCGAATAACAATATTTAAATAAATTAAATGAATATGATTTAATTAGAATAAATGTAAAATAGCTGCTTGAAAAAAGGATGATCAGATGATAAACCAAAAGGATGATTGAAAAAGACAGATGATAAATTGAAATAATATGATATGTTAAGTGCCAGATGATTTCTCTTTACATGCCACTTTGGGCATGCATATGTTTGCTAGCCCTGCTGTAGAGTGACACTTGTTAAGAATTGCATTTGAATTTAGAACACATTGATATCTACCAATTTAAATTATAGAAATTAGAATGTATGTAAAATCTGGATAATAAGTGATAAATCTACTGAGTATTATGTTTAAATTAAAAATTTCTTTACATAATTACAAAAACTTCAAATAGTAAATTTTTATGTAAGTGTAAGATTAATCTTAATTAAATTTTGGTAATAATTTAATACAATAAATAAAGAAATCTATATCTATCTATAGTAAGAAAGCTTCATATACAGTAGATCCTACACACCATAAATGTTAATTTGTTAGTGTGTTTAAAGAAAACATGAATATATGACTGCACAAAAAATCTATGATGTTTGTGTAATCCTAATTCCATAATTAAAATAGGATTATTTTACAATACATATTTTTTTACCAATACATTCTATTTTTTTTGCCTAAATAAAAACAATAGCCAAAGGATGGTTTGGAAATGATACTACCAACACCACTGAGATCATCAGCTATTTTTTATTATTAGAAAATAATTGAATTAAATTCTAAATAATTTGAGTGTTTTCTTGTTTTTAATTCATTTGCCCTTACTACATGCCCAGTGAGTTATTTTATTTAACATTGTTATCATATTTAGTAGTAAATTAAATGTAAATCGACAGTGTATGTCTATTAGTGTTTCTGGTAAAAGTTACATCTAGATAATTGTTTACATATGTGTACATATATAAATTCCCTGAAAGTAATTTCTGTACTTATTTTAGTCGTGCTCATATTATTGATTTGCATATTAAAAACACACCAATTAAGTTATTCATTATTACAATTTAAATACCTACCTGTTCAATATTTTAATTTACAAATACTGCTTTAATTTTCTATCTTATCTATACTTTTGTTTAAAAGGTGTAAAATTATCACGATAAATATACAAAATCATTTTAAAAAAATTAAGTTGATAACAATGTTGCCACTATTTACAAATTAACACCTCCGTTTGACTATCCATTGTGGCTATTGATGGGCTATATCATCGAACTTTATAAAATGGAAGAAATAATCATTTGAATTTTATCATTAATTTTCGAAATGTTCTCGTTAGTAAAGCAAAACGTATTCAGACGCTCCTCATCAATATTTAATAGTATTTTAGGCTACAGTTCAGATGACGGCGTTTCACGAATTTACAGAGAGAAATTTAATTTATTCATCGGATTGAGCAATGGATTTTTTTTGAATGAGATAAAGATAATAGGCATGAAATTATCAAAGATTTCTAGCGCAATTTTGACTTTAAAATGATCTTGAACTTCGCGTACTAATGAGCCGAATAAAAATGAATTTACGTTCATTTTATGCTCCTGTAAACAAAATATAATATGAACATAAACAAAGTTCCCCATTTATAATATTGAATGTAAGATTAACAAATAAACCGATCTATTAATCAAAAATATTATTTTTCTGTATTTTCAAAAAGTGCGTTGAAATTTTGATATTGAAACGTTAATGATCTTTAATAGTTCTATTTAGATGCCATGGATGACAGAGGCGGTAATGGCATCAGCCTGCTATTGTACGATACCCAGATTCAAGTTCGAGTAAGAAGTTCAAAAATTTTTATGAATAATCTGCCCCGGATATGTAGTACTATGTCCCTGATTACCGGGCCGCTCCTATTATGAGGGCATAGTCGAACTCATAATAAGTACGAAAACAGTGTTCTCAGTATTTAAAAACGAAAAGTTTTAAATGTAGTGATTCTATTTCGTTATTTAATTGATTTTTCTTCAGCGAAGAGATCATCAAATGATTTCCAATGGCCATGGGCGTAGCGAGGGGGGAGCCTGGGTGGGCACGGCCCCTCCCAGGGAACCTGGTGCCCTCCCCAGGAAATCACAGCCGAAAAAGTGTTGAGTCGATTTGTAAAAACCTAAAGCTAAAATAAAAGTTTTGAATACTAAAAAAAGGTGAACGGCTTGCTCGGTGCCCAATAATGAACAATAATTTGAAATAATTCAATTTTGTGTCAGGTTGGCCTCCACTAGGCCCCCCCATAACAAAACTCTGGCTACGCCCATGCCAATGGCCACCTCTTTATGGAATTCATGTTTTTTCATCGATCCCTCAGCAAAAAGTAAATATAATAATACATGAAAAATAAAATACGTAAAAATTAATATATACTCGTATATTTAAAAAATTCTTTCCACTTTGTGAGCATTAAGAGAGTCTTTTTCGATACCCATCGTGGGATTCGCCAGGCCCACAAAGTGCGGCCGGATGGTTAGGAACAAAACCCGACATATTTGGAACAGAATGCTCCTGAAAAATTCCTGCGGTTTTCAACTTATCTGGATCCGTTCCTAGATTCCTCTTGCTGTACGCCGAAGCCATAACTGATCGGCCGTCATTATTTTTCTTATTAAATCGTTAACAAAGAGCTTCTTATAGGAAACATTAAGCGCCTCACCTAGTAAAGCGGCTTTAATATATACATATACATATACATATACATATATGTGATCATAACAGTACACATTTTTATTTTGATATTATTTACTTATATTTAAACTATATAAATACATTTATAAAATTATTCCATATTTATTTTTTAAATACATAATTTGAAATTTCTAAATTCTAAGTAATAATTTTCGTAAATTGTTGACATTGCTCGACAAATATTAACATTTATATCTATATATGAAATTTGTAAAAATCTGTTCTTTAGATTGGACTCGTAATTTTCCTGCTAAGATCCCTGGCAACACTGAGTTTTCACATAAATGTATTACGTAATTTCCTTTTGAAATTTTTGCGATTCGGATACACGTGAAATCTATCACGCTTCAATATATTATTGATTTATTTCGTATATTAAGAAAACAAATTTTTAAAAAATGTCAGTATTTCATGATGAAGTCGAAATTGAAGATTTTGAGTATGACGAGTTAACTGAAACCTATTATTATCCTTGCCCATGTGGAGATAAATTTGAAATTACTAAAGTAAGTTAGTACGTATTAATCATTTTCAATGTAAATCAATAAAATATCACTCTGCTTGGTAATCTTTATATAGTATTTGTTTTTGTCTTGCTTTTTTATTTTTAGTAAATAAACAATAATTTTTCTTGATAATTTTTAATCTATAAGTTGTTTGATATTGACAGGTTGTTATGAAATTAATACAGTAGAACCCCTGTAATCCGTCACCTTTGGGACTGGGGGTATGGTCAGAACGCAAAAAAGGTCGGATTATCAGAAAAAAGTAAAATAAACAATCTTCCCTTTGTCCAGTCTTTGTAGCACTGCTAATTTTTCATTTAATGAAAAAGTATTGTATTTATGTTTCATAAATTTTCTCCTGACATGTTGAAAACACACACAAAACTGTACACGTACACACAATGTAAAACATATACTGTAACGAACAGAGAAGAACGCCACGGACGGTGAGTCATGGTTGGATTAACCGAAGTGACGGACTAGCCGAGGGCAGACTAGAGGGGTTCTACTGTATGTCATTCTTATATCTAGTCAAAAATTCTTGTATGAAGTTTTGGTTTTAACTTATGTTTTTTTGTATGCTTATATTTAGGAAGATCTTGCTAATGGTGAAGAAATAGCCACTTGTCCAAGTTGTTCATTAATAATTAAAGTGATATATAATTTGGTGAGTAATATTATTATTATTACTGTAATTTAAAAATATTGTTGTATGCTCAGACTCAAGTGTGCAAATACAGTTGAGTCAGATAATCAGATTAGGGAGCAGTTGGCTGTTCTCTCAATTCTTTCCCCTTTGTTTTATGTGCAGTGGAACTCCTGTTAAGTTAACAGAACATTTAAACAAGTGCCATATTGGTGGCATTTTTTAGAGTAGAAGTCTGCATTAGGGAGCACAGTTTAAAAAAGAATTATAAGGGTTTAGCTTTAATCTTACTGTACATCAACACACATGGCATAAGGCTTTCTATACTATTTGTTTAAATTTACTGTATGGTAAAAAGTACCAAATATTTTACTATCTGTACATATAGATAGTAAAATATTTGATACTTTTAAAATTAATTATTGATATTTATACTTATGTTGGAGGAAAAGTTTAAGATCTTTCATTTCTGTTTGGCTCTTGTTTTCTATTTCAGTGGCCTTGTTTGAAAGCCAGGATGTCTTTTATTTTCTCTTCTCTCTTGGTATATGATTTGTAGTTTCTTCTTTTATGATAGTTTTAAGTTCATTTTAGAGTTCTGATTCTCTATCAGTGAGATCAGCTTTTGAATCTATTGAAGACTGCTAATGTATATTGAGTGGGTGTTATCTGAATTGAAATGTGTTGGTATTGAATCTATTCTTGTACCTTTTCAATTTTGGGCATACTTCTTCAATTAGTATTTAGTGATCAGATCCACGGTTAATACCATGCAAGATCTTAAAACTCTTTAGAGTTTATCTATCTCAGGGGTGGCCAACCTTTTGCATACCATGCGCCAATTTTTTGATAGACGAGTTCACATGCGCAGTGGTGTACCATGAGTGTTAGCAGCTTGGGGCGGAGAAAAATTTCGGCCACCCCTTATTTAGGTATTTCAATTTATAAGACAAAAATTCAGATTTGCCACAGAACAAGCAATGAAAAATGCGGTTGTAGTGTAGCTACCCGTATAAAATAGTTCTATATGACATTATGACATCAGTGGTGCACATGAACACGAATGCATCGTGTAACGTACAAGGAAAAAAAAAAAAAAGGTCAACAGGTCGAGTGCACCTAATTGTGTAAGAAATACACTTGCCAAGAGACACTGTAAAAAATTAATTTCCTATTTAATATTCATAATTGCTATGAAGCCAATGTTGCTCGGAACCGACTGAAGCACCACTTGTAGTCGTCCAATGCGCCAAGTTTTGGCCACCCCTGATCTATCTGTTTTTGCCAAAAATATAGTCTCACTGATTTCTGTATAGTCCATTTGGTGACATCCAAGTGTACAGTCATTGTTTAGGCTGTTGAAAATAAAAGTTGGCAACAAACAAAACTATTATTAAAATTTGCTTTCTTAATACACAAAATAAACCAATAATTTATTGTAGCATGATAGTTTTCAAGTGTATCTGGATCTTAACAAAATCAAAAGGACACATTTATGTAAAAACTCAATGAAGTATTATTCAGCTTCATTACATATTCCTAAACCAAATCTACCAGCTAAATACCATGAGTTATTTCTTCATCTAACCTTTGCATTAAAGTCACCAATGATAAATATTACATCTTTCATTGGTGCTTGATCAATGGCATGTTACAGTTTCTTCATAAAATTAATTTTTTACAGAGTAATAGTACATTTTAACATATGTAATAAATATTATATAAAAAGTTAATTATGAAAAAAAGTTATTTTTTATACTTTAATCAGAAATTTAAAGCTTTCATTGAAATTCTTAAATGCATACAGTAGCATTGAAGTCAAAGACAATATTAATGATGATGAGTAGGCAATTTCTCAAAGAATCACCATACAAGCAAACTTAGGAGTTTTAGTATATTTAGGAGTTTAGTAAACTTTTAGTATTGGTTGTAAATCCATGTTTGTGAAGACATTGAATTAAATACATGTTAACTCAGAAAGACGGATTTTCTAGCTCAGGCTAGCAAGTTGACAACTGTTTCCAAAGGTATATTCTCAGTCCAAAAGGTTGATGGTTGGCAACAATGCAGTTTAATGTGTTGATAGATAGCAGACAGATGGGCATAAAGAATTCTATTTTTTCATTATACATATTTTTATTTGTCCATATAAATAAATAAAATACATATAATGAAAAATCTGAAATCAATTTCATAGTACTAATTCCACAAATTACAGTTTTTATATAATAAAGATTGGTGATTTTCTGTAAGCCCACTATCAACCTAGCTCATTATCAACATTACTGTTAGATTTTATTTATTACAGTATAAATAGAAAAGTAAGATTACTGAGTCAAAGGCTTCTGATGCATGAAATTTGATTTTGATTTACTGCATTAGAAACAGTGTTGACATGGTTAGAAATGTAACCTGAAGCATTTTTCAATTCTCATGATGATCAAGCCAGGGATTTAGCAGAGTTAAAAAGAAAAACTATGTAAAACAAAGCAAAATGAATAACTTCATTCAAAAAAAGAACCATAATAAACAATTTTTGTGAATATTGTATTTTATTTAATATTAATTTTACTATTAGATATTACTTTTTCATCTGAGACAGAGGAAAGTATTGGAATTGTGTCAAATTTGATCTTCAAGTTTTTTGCCAATCTCCACATTTTGACTCCTATATCCAAAAAAGTAAAATAAAAAACATGAAAAAATTCCATGGATACATGTGTGTGCAAATGGCATTTATTTCTTTTAATATTTGAGGATGGGATAACAATTAAGAGATGAAGCTTGGCATGGTAGCTAGTATATAAGTAGCATTGATTTTATTAAATTAGGGCTCTAAGCAGGATGGTGTGCAGCTGGAAATCAATTGGGAGCTAATTCTGGACTTTAGACGGGATAGTACAGAACATCCTGCCTACAGTCCAGAATTAAAGCATTGAAGCATTGTGTTCTTTGGAGTCGTGTGAAGATGCACATTATCATAAAGGAGCATAACAGTTTCAGATAATGCCACATCACTTGTTTTGAATGGCCCCATGCAGCCTATTGCATTGTCACCCTACATACAATGATGATTGTCCTTTAGACAAATATTATCAGCATTCAGAAGCCAAATAACAGCACACACTTTGTATGCCACAGGATTGTTAATTTTTGCTGCAATTTTGATGATACACCACAACTGTACAATGCACTCAATCAACTGTTATGTTGAATTGTACAGTAATGCATAAGTTACTTTGAGAAAAGTATATGTGTGACTAAGTATAGTTGACCTTTCCTGTTTGACATCTGTCACTCTATACACCATCTATGAGCAAATGGATTATTACTTTCTGGACAACCCTTGTAGATTTAATTTTATCCAGGTTTTTAAACCTATTTTGAATTAATTGTGTAGTCTTAATAATTTTACAGTAGTTATATTGAAATTAAAACTATAAATGTTAAACTTTTTTTTTAATTTGCAGGAGGATTTTATTGAGAAAGAACAAAATGTTACGACAACAAAGAGAGAACTGGCTATTGCATAATTAAATTGTTTGACTTTTATTTATGAGCTGTGAATTTGTTGTTGAAAAATACTTGGTTTTGTTAATAAAAATTATTTGTTGTTATAAGAGATTTTTTTAAATATATTTTTTTTAAATCACGTAAAAAATTTTGAAATATGCAAGCTGCAAACAATTTATTTTTTCATATTTCACTCCTATTATTAATCATCACGTGCATGTATCTCTTGTCAACTGATTTTTCCTAACTGCAGATTTGAATTAACTTTTGAACACAATGAAAACTTCTTAACAATGTTGTAATGTTATGTAGTATTTCGATTACTGATAAATTATACTGTATTTTAAAACAAAATGTAAAACTTAATGCTTTCTTTGCATAACTAAAAAAATTATATATATTGATAATTAAAAAGAACAATGCTGTTTTCAGCATTTCTCCATTCCAATGGCATATAACCATACTGATCATTTTGTAAGCATTCATCCAGTCACCAAATGCATTTTTGAACTTTAAAATGAGCAATTATTTATTGTGACACCACCATGATACTGGGCTGAAATTTTTTGTTACAATGTTTTCTGTTTTAGTATCCTGTCCCTGTGCATCATCCTTTTTCTGTTAACGATAGAATTATGCTAGTCACCTAACTCTGTTTAGGGGAAATATTTGAAATGAAATAACATGACTTCTGGTGCAAACTGGAAGTTAATGTATAGTTAATCAGGGCTTGTTGTCCCTAAGTTTTCCAAATCTGGTTTTGACTTTCATCGATCTAACTCTGTTCTTGGGATTAAGGAAGGAAGGACACAGATGGATACCAGTGGAAATTTATATGGTAGGTCTACAATTTTTGAAAATTGCAGCTCAACAAGTATTAGAAGCATTGTTGTGCCTATTAAAAAATTTAAAAAACAAAATGAACCAGTCTTCAATTTTTGATTTTTTTGAGTTGTAATGGATTGTTCTCAACTAACTTGAAACAGTTAAGATTCTCTCATTTCTTAGTGTACAAAAATTTTTGTTATGTTAAATTTTTGATGTAAAATTAAATTTATTATGTAAAATATACATTTAGTGTCATGCTTATTTTTCTGCCTAACTCCATTTCTCCCTAGAGTCTGTTTTGGTAACTGCAGCATAAGCAAGGAATGACTCTATTTAAATACATTAAATATTATCATAAACTCTAAATGAATATAAACCTATTGAGAACAAAATGTGATCTAATTTTATTTTAAAGTGTTATGCATAACAAAAGGTATTTATTTGTATATTTTCATTAAATTATTTTGTGTATGAATTTAACAGAAGTTTTGTGCTTTTATTCAAAAAATTTTTCTTTGATAAATTTAAATGATTTTCAAAATTTTTCCTACTACAGTTTCCCTAATAAGCCTTACAATATCAACAATAAATCATTTTTCACTGATTTTTCTCAGTTTTATTATTAAAATTTAAAAATTCACAACTTTCAACATTACCCTTTCTTATGAGCAACTACCATATAATGCAATAGAAATAAATCATTAAATATAAATATATATACATATAAATCTATACACCTACAATAAATAATTATGATAGTCCATAGTTCTAGCAATAATTTTCAAAGGAAATATTACAAAATAATTGATACTTATGAACAGAATATCTTAACTATATCTCTAACTGCAATACTATAATACACCAAAATACTCAGAAACCTTTATAATGCAGTCTATTTTGTTGATGTACCAAACATTTTCAGTCAAATTAACTGACTTCCTTCAGGTTTGAACCAAAAAATTTTAATTTGCCAAATGGAAAATTCTTTTCCAAACGGGAATTCTAGAACGTTTTTTAAAAATCTACAACTTCGCAGATTCAATTTTTTGGTTCGATCCTGAAGGAGGTCAATTAATTTGACTGAAAACATTTGTTATGTTAACAAAATAGACTGCATTATAAAGGTTTCTGAGTATTTTGGTGTAGAATATCTTAAAATGTAAAAGTTGAAAAATATATCAGTTAACATATCCATTTATAATTTTCATCAATTATGTCATATCATGTTTAAATCTTCATTGTTTGAGAATGAGCATATCAAACAGATGAAGCCAAAGATGATATTCAAGCAATAAAACATTAATACAAGATACTGAAAAACTGTGCAAGTACCAAACTGCAGACATGTTCCAAAATGGATTGAACTATTGTATTAAAAATTCTTATTAAAAAATTTTAGTTTTTTTTAGACATCTTAGAAAGTTGTTAAATACATTGTAAATTGTTATTAATGTTTGTTCAATTAATATTTTGTAATTGAAGGGCTAAAAAAAAGGAGGTAACTTGCAAAATGTAAGTTTGAGGTTTTCTATGAATCTGAAATTTTTAGGCCAAAGAAATTTAGTCATACTACATAATAGCCTGAAATAGAATTTATGCAACATGCAACACTAGTCAATCTCTAGAATTTTTACAAAGCATGTATATGTTGAAAAATGTCACTCTTCTCCATTAAAAATATTTTCTTTGCTGTACATACATACACTAAAATGAAAGTGTAAAATCTGCAGTTACTTCTGTGCTCCAAAGAATGTCGACATGGATGATAATCGAGAAATGAACGAGGAGAAAATTTAATAATAGAAATTCCAGCATTGGAATTGGAGAAACTCACTCCTTTGGAACGAGAAATGATCTGCAGTTACATTTTAATTTCAGGACTTTGTGGATTCGGATGTTTGATTATTGGTTTACATTCCTGACCATTGAAAAAACAAGTTTGAATACCAATAATATTGAATACAAAATAATGATGCATATTTTTATCAAGAACATAATAATAGAACACACTCATTATGACACAACATTGTCTTCAGCACATGTAATGTTCAGAAAGAAAGCTTGATAAGGTTAGGTATTAAGGATATTTGCTTATGTTATTGATCTTTTCCTTGCTGATGAATTTGTTTCCATGCTGAAGGTGAAGGACATGTAGAATGACACATGCCATGGCCGTTTCTTATTACAATCAATGCATTTCCAAAGCTCATCTTCATTACAGGATTCTTTGTATTTATATGATCCCACATTGTCATTCCAAAGACACCTGATGCCACTTTGAAAATGAATCTTTTCCTCAGCCTCATTTTTTATTTTTTGTGTTACTGACAACTGCAGTAGTAGTTTATTTCTTTAAAAACTGTAGATGTTCTGATCTTAAATTAGTTTCTATGCTGAGCATCACAAATAATGTCTCTTTAATGATTAATAAATGGGCTGATGTTTTCTAATTTCACCTCAATATGGCCTAAAATCTCTGTCCTAATCTAGCATGGTGTGGACCACTCAGGAATTTGTGGTCAATACAACTGAAAACACCTTTCTATATTAAATATTGCATATTGCCTCTCACAAAGATCCCCAAAGTTTTTGTTTTGGCCTATTTATGAATCTAACCATGCAGTCAGATGTGCTCCTTAGATGCCAGAGACATCAAAAAATGCCTACAGACAGCTGCCAACTTCTTCACTTTTCCCATCAGCTTCATCTGTCCAAATATGCATGTACTGTACTTCTGGATGTATTTAGTTATTGTGTGAATTCCTTCATTATACAGTATAACCAGAGTTGCTGAAGATAAAATTCCAAGTACTATCAGAAAGTCAAGAATCATCAGATTTGCAGCCTGTAGCATCTTTCCCAGAATTACTAGTATCACTTTCATCTTTTTCATCCTCTCCAATGGGATCAACATAAGCCTGTCTGACAGGCTTCTTGTAAAGGCATCCAAAGGCCACAATCTTTTATCCATGGTAAAAACAGCAGGTCACATGCATAATGCAAAGTATTCATATGCAATGCATGATGCAACTACTGCTTAGAAAGAAAGTGAGACCTTAATGTCATCTGATTGTACTGTGGCAAATTGTGGAAAAGGGCAGTAATTACACTTGGCATTGAAGAGAGTAAATATAATTTTCTCCATCTTCTGCTAGTAGCATATACTGCCTTCTTCCATCACCAAACTGCAGAATGGATGAAGGTAATTTTTGAATTGTTTATTACAGTAAACCCTCTTTACTACAGACATTTACTAAAGGGAATTTACTATATTTCACTATAGTCATTTACCTCTTCATTAACTCAAATTCATAAAAATGCCATTACCTCCTCCTTTCACCAAGCTCTTCAATTATGAAAACACAGTAAATTTGTAAATACAGTAGAGCGTCGTTTATCCGAATCAATTGGGGACTGGAGTTGTTCGGATAACCGATTGTGTACGAAAAAGTACATTAACCTATCCCGTGTTGAAATTTTTCTCCGTTGCGTGTCGCTTTGTGTTGAATTTTCATCGATGTTAAGCCTAACATAACTTTTTAAAATAATTATCGTGGCTATTGTATCGTTAAAAATTATTTCTTTATTTTTTACAAACAAAATAAATACAGTATATTCAAAACTATAAAAACAAAAAAATTATACTTTAGAAGTTATCTAGTATCAAAAACGTTCGATTCAGCACGACACAGTCCTCAGAAAAACATCACACAAAAGTGACAGCGCTGCCATCTAAAACACATACACAAACAAAAAATATTGGAGTAACACAAGATATAACCAAAGATTGCAGCGCTACAGCACTAGCGAAAATTAAATTTGCCGATTGGAATTCTTTCGGATAACCGACGTTCTACTGTAATCTATATATATATATATATAAATGGACATGTATGTCCCTATATTTCACTTTTTCTCCAAAACTACACATCGCACGTGAATGGTGTTTGTATGTGGTAGTAGCCCCAAGTCTCCATTCGTGCATAGGGGTGGTTGCGTCTCGATAGCTATAAGGGTGCGGGAGATATGAGGCTGAAAGTGGTTGAAAGTGGCTTTCTATTTCGAATGTTTTGTTCGAATTTGTTCGAATTAAATTCGAACATAAAATTCGAAT